GTAGGCCGCAACCACTCAAAGGTCTTTTGACCTGGGCGGATCAGCTATAGGGTCTGAGTCAGTTTCACACCAAAGTGAGTGCACCGCGGCAATCGCCCGCTATGTGCAGAGCCCGCTCGCACAGCGTTCAATTGAAAATAGTAGTAGTAGTAGTAGTAGTAGTAGTAGTAGTAGTAGTAGTAGTAGTAGTAGTAGTAGTAGTAGTAGTAGTAGTAGTAGTAGTAGTAGTAGTAGTAGTATAGTAGTAGTAGTAGTAGTAGTATAGTATAGTATAGTATAGTATATATGTATGTAATAAATCAGAACTCCCGAAAACCCTGAACTAAGCTCCTCGATTAATTCAAGCTTCAAGCAGCCATCGCTCCAGCATCATGCAGCGGTCGATCCAGCATCGATTGAGGTTCCAGTCCTGAGTAGTATAGTGGCGTATAGCGACATAGTGGTGTATATAGGGGTGTCTAGTGGCGTCAAGGGGATAGTGGTATATGGTAGTGGTATAAGTAGTAGTAGTCGTCGTGTAGTGGTATATAGTAGTAGTATACTATATATATATATATATGTATATGTATGTATACAGAGTAGCCATACAAATCAGAACTCCCGAAAACCCTGAACTAAGCTCTTCGATTAATTCAAGCTTCAAGCAGCCATCGCTCCAGCATCAAGCAGTTGCCGATCGATCCAGCATCGATTGAGGTTCCAGTCCTGAGTAGTATAGTGGTATATAGCGACATAGTGGTGTATATATAGAGTATAGGAGCAGCATGCAGTAGCAGTGCCAGTGGCTGTATAGTATGAGCAGCAGCAGTAGCAGCAGCAGTAGCTATATAGTCGTGGTACTAGTATACTATATATAGTGTATATAGTATAGCTAGAATTATAATCGTAGCAGTATACAACTGTGAACCCCGGTAACCCCGAACTCGGCTCTTCGATTTGGGGTTGGGAGCTATAGCATGCCTTAATTTGTTAGGGTTTGGGACACGGGGTATAGGGAATGAAACCCATCAATGAAAGATTCAAGCAGCGGCCGAGCCAGCGTCGATCGATTTTCCCATCCTGAGTGGAGCGGCTTTGCAAAGTGCAGCATGTACAAGTAGTATAGTAATATAGTAGTATAGTAGTATAGTAGTGTAGTAGTATAGTAGTAGTAGTATAGGTGGCGTATATATGTGTAAAGTGGTGTATAGTGGTGTTGTGGAATACAGTGGTGGATAGTGGTGTATAGTGGTAGTGACTGGTAGTGATATATGTATTATATATATATGTAGATATGTATATATCTACATATATATATATATATATATATATATATATATATGTAGTCGTATAGAAATGACAGTAGATATATAGTAGTCCTCGTCGTATATAGTTGATAAGGTATACTACCACTGAAACCCCAAATTAAACCCTAAGCACTATAATCAAACAATCAAAGGGCGGCAGATGTGCCAATGACACATGCAGAAGCGGGGTTAGGGTTTGGGGTTTGTGCGGCTTCCGGATAGGGCTGGCTTAGGTTTTTCTTGGCGTGTTGTGTTTGTCCCCTCTGTCCTCTCTCTCTCTCTCCCTCCCTCCTCTCGCTCTCTGTGGCCTCTGGCCTCTCTCTCTCTCTCTCTCTCTCTCTCTCTCTCTCTCTCTCTCTCTCTCTCTCTCTCTCTCTCTCTCTCTCTCTCTCTCTCTCTCTCTCTCTCTCTCTCTTTCTCGCACGAGGGCACTTAAGACTTTACTCGCATGTCGCATGACAGTTGCAAGCGAATGAGTACGATCACCATGCCGACATGCCAGGGTCGCCAATCTTCCATCTGTCAGATTGCAGCAACAATGCCATGCAAGACTGGCTTTGTAAACAGACTCCGCCATCTCTTGTGGCGTAGCATCGATCAAGGTAATCGATCGCGATGTGCATATAGTACAGTGCATGTCTACTCCAATGTAGGGTTTAGGGTTTAAGTTTTTTGGGTTTAGGTTTGGGGGTTGTCTTCAAACCGCCACCTGCAGGCCCTGCAAACGCCCGAAACCCAAACCCCAATACAGGCTTTCGGTTCCGGGGTTAGGGTTCCGGGTGGAGTTTGAGTTTAGGGTTCAGGATATATACAAGGTTCCGGGTTTAGCACAGGTCCCAGATCCGTGGAGCGACAGGATCCCGTATAGGGCTTAGGGTTCTAGGGTTGTGGGTCGCATACTCTATATGTATACGTGCAACAAGAAGCCGAGGCACCATGGCGATCGATCCATACCAATCCGGAGCATCTTCGGGCCTTTGTGCTTGCAAGCAGAAGAAACGATCAGGCAAGCAGGGAGAAGGGGCTTGGTGTGTTTAGGGTTTAGGTTTTAGGGTTCAGGGTTTAGGCTGCATGGGGCCACGAATCCCAACTGAAAGAGAGATTTTGCTATTTCTTTGATCCCAAGCCAAGCTATGAAATTGAGGTTGTGGGTATATATGTCTGGGGAATATATATATATATATATATATATATATATATATATAGAGCAGAAGACGAGGCACATCGTTGATGGCGGCGGCGATCGAGCTTCCAGCCGGCTGGTGGCTAGCACATGGAACCCAAGGCCAGGATTGAGTTCGTCGGGTTTAGGGTTTAAGTTTTTTTCGGGTTAAAGGATCAAGTGTGTTGCGGGGGACGCCCCCCCCACAATGGAAGTGCACATTGCTTGCGACCTGTATAAGATTCGAAACCATCAACAGCTGATCGGTCGAGCAATCAGGCAGCTCAAAGGTTGCATGCAAATAGCAACAACAATGCTCGTAGCAGCTCAAAGGTTGCGTGCAAATAGCAACAACAATGCTCGTAGGATGCCAAGTGTTTCTGACCTTTGCCCCAGGCTGTCGGCGTGAAACCGGCATGCTGCGATATGGCAACAGGCCGAATTGGGGATCGTGGGAGCCATCAGTCCAAACCTTTTATTGCCGGCTATAGTGCATGCTAGAGCTACAGCCTAGGAGCCATATAGTATTTTTCGTTCAGACCCCCAACAATCCGAAGAACACAAGGTGCAACCTCCTAGCGAGTATAGCGCCTTTTCTTCTGTTCCTGTTCGGAAAAAAGCTGAAGAACCTGCTCTCTTGCTTCGCTGTCTCGCCAAGCAGCTTCTTTCTCGTGCTGCTTCCAGGACTTGTCGAGCCTCGGGTGGCGGGGGAGTGAGATTTAAGGGCAAGGGGCAGGCACAATCGGCAGGCACTCGAGATCTGTGTTAGCCAAGAATCGTGGCCATGAACCGTTTTCTCTCCAGCCCATAGGCCGTGTCTTGGCGGGGTTTGCTTTTGGCCTCCGGGGCGGATTCTTCTTTCGGGGAAGCTGCTTTTTTGGCAGGTGTTGTGGCTGCTGCTGGTGAAGCTGCTGCTTTGGCTTTCGGTCGCGGCAGCTTGGCCGGTTTGTTGGATGCAACAAGCAGTCGTTGCTTGTGCGGGTTTGCGGGCTGATGCTTTCCGCCAATGCAAGCTTCGATAGCCTTTGGGGGAATGCTAAGTGATGTCGAATCGATAGCACCGAGGGCGAACTCCTGAGCTATGTGATAGGATCCGTCATCCTTACAACAACCCTGCACCCCTATAAGTCGGACTATTGCTAAACCAAGCGACCTGAGGACCCGTAGTGGACCGTTGGCGAGCATCGGCACCCTGAAGCAGGGAAAAGAAGTGTGATTGCAAGGAATTGAAACCAATGATAGCCCGGCCTTTTTCGAAGGCTTTGAATCGGCATCATCTGCCCCCCTGGGAATGTGGATAACACGAGTTTGGGGTTTATGTAGGGTTTCGGGCTTGGGGTTTGCATGCATGCCTATCCACCATGCAATCCAAGAGACTCTTCGTACAGGGCCGCCAGTTGACCCTCCTCAGACGTAGTATGCATAGTCATATAGCCAAGGATAAGTGATAAGTACAATTGCTGCCGAGACACGAGAGCCTCGGCGGCATGGATACCAATCTGGGCATCATTCGATGCTTTCTGCTTCGCCTGCGATGTATGAGATTGTTGCACACAGATGCAGACAAACACTATTGTCGAGCGAGCGGCTCTGTCAAAAAAATCAATCAAACTGCCCATTTCTTTCAGCAGAGCCTATCAGATCACAGTGGCCAGCCTATATATATATATATATATATATATATATATATACACACCACAAGCAACATGAATGTTGATCCAGTCCGTGCCTTGGCTGGGGCATCCTCGTCCCACTCCAGCAACGGTTGCCCATCGGACCATGCGGCGTGCCATGTGGCCTGAACGGCGGCGGGGAATCGGAGGGAAACCTCAAACTAGAAAAACACCGTGCCTCGTCATGCCACTCTCCTGAAGAATTCCATGCCTGGACGTGACTCATGCATGGTATATACACACATGCATGTCCTTCAGGGACCAAACCATGCCTCGTATCCATGGGCGGCTTCCATCTGTGCCTGGCTATTCGGTCCCCGGACCTAGAGTATGTCTGATGGGGTTTGTGCCGGGGGGCGGGCCGGGGTGGGACTTTCTGAATGCTCTGCTGTCGGCGATGGGTTTTTCTTGACATGAGAATTTTCACGAAGTTTTTCTGAGACTTTCTTCTTTTGCGAGATGAGTTTGAGAATCAGCCTGGCAAGACTCTTGATGGCTTGCGAATGTCGTCTTCATTCCGATGCAGTACTCTCAAGGAGCTGTAGCTTTTCGTGTAGAGTAGGGGCTGGGGGACCGTTGGCGCGATGGTCGTGTGAGCCTCGGCTCCAGAAAGGCCACTCGATGGCTCTTGAGTGGGAGTGTGTCAGTGAAATTGATCACACTCTGTGCAGCAGATTGCAGAAAACCTTCAGTGACCCTTGCAATCTTGCACTTGCGTGTTTTGATGAAGGGAGTACCACTGATTTGGTGGAGGATGCATTACAAGGACAATACCCTCCAGAGAAGAGGCGCAGGATTGCTAGTAAGCTTCTTCGTTGGAGCACAGAAGTTGAACCGAAGGTTAAGCGTGAGGTCACCTTTCGTGCTGGATCTGTGAAGATGCTGGCTACTCGGGTGACTGTGCCGAGGAATGATGTCGGTGCCGAGTTTGAATCCTTGGTTTCTAAGAATCCACAAGTTGGAGTGCGCATCTTGGAGCAAGCGTTGCGGCAGAGGCGATTGGGAACAGACACTAGTCGCCAGGCAAGGGAAGAGATCAGTCGCAGGAGGTGGATCTTGGAATTAGCCAAGGTCATCCGAGAGGCAGGCCTTCCAGCGGCATCGCGTATTGATGCTATGAGCAATCCTGAGGCAGCCTGGGTTCGTGCTTTTGGCTCCCGTCGAGCAAAGACTTTAAAGAATCGTGCAGTGGTCTGGCGCAAGCTGGTAGAGTGGCTACAGGCTACGTACTCGGTGTGCTGGCCTCAGTCTGCAGAGGTGGTGCTACAGTATTTGGAAGAGAGGCATGAAATTTCACCATTGGGCAAAACTGTCCCGGGGGGAATTCTTTCTTCACTGGGCCTACTGGAACAGGTTGGCCAGGTTGATGTCACCGATCGCTTGAGTGAGGACACGTTGCTCATTGAGGGCGTTCGTTCCTGGAAGGTTGAATTGGAACAAGACTCAGCACCAGTTAAGCAAGCACCCATGTTTCCGGTGATTGTGCTGCTGGCGTGCGAACTCTTGGTTTGCAACACTTCAGCTGATACGTGGAGCAGATTTTATGCTTTCATTATCCTCCTCCAGGTGTGGGCCACTTTGCGCGTGGATGATCTTCAGAATATCAACCCGGCGAGCATAACACTGTCACAGCTTGGGCTTAAAATGACTTTGGACAGGACGAAGACATCAGGTGCCGGGAAGCATGTCGGCAGGCTACAGGCATTTGTCATGCGGGGCATCAGCTTATCTGGATTCGACTGGATCGGTCACGGCTACCGCTTGCTGAATTCGGAGGCCCTCAAGTTTGAACGGGACTTCCTGTGTGTTCGTTTCTGCGGGGACAGGGACACTGCTAGCCAAGGGTTCATCGACAATGAGGAGGTTGCTCTTAACATACGCAAGTTACTGCAGGAGCTGCCTATGCCAGTCAAGAAGTCAGGCAAGTGGACATATAGTCGGGATTCGCGGATGCTTCCTGAAGCTGTTGTGCCTTACTTCACAGGACATTCGGGCAGGCACACACTGCCTAGTTTGGCGGCTGCGGCAGGTGTGGGCAAGGAGCCTCGAGATTACCTGGGAAGATGGTCTGCAGCTAAGCATGGCAGTCAGGACTACGTGCTTACATCGCGTCAAGTTGTGCATCATGTACAGTCAACGACTTGTCGAGCCATCCTCGAGGGATTGCCTGCTCCGGGAATCGTTGAAGAAGAGAGCTTGAATGAGATTCAGGACTATTATGCCAAGCGAGGAGGCCCATCGATGCAACTTAAGCGTCAACTGAAGTGCTTGGAGTGGGATGATGAGAGGGGCTCGTGGGCCCTGGGGGGAACTTTCCCCTTGATCAGCATGTCACCTGGGATTCTGGAACAGGCCAAAGGGGATCCTGGGGCAAAGCTTCCAGAAACTACGATCGAGCTGGCGGTGGCAGCTCCCTATTTTGTCACAGTTTCGAGGTCAGGATTCAGAAGGCTCCATACGAGCCATTCGTGTGCCGTTCGTCAGGAACGCTGCAGGGAGACAATTCCCATATTCGAAGTTACAGATTCAGTGGCAGATGCAGTGTGCAAGAGGTGCCGGCCGACAGATCAGAATCGGCCAGCATCCAGTAGTTCCGGTTCAGATAGTGTGGAGCCACCCGCAGATCAAGAGGGTGACTGAGTTAAGATGCGAACCAGAGATTGCAAAAGGGGGTGAGAGCCGAAGAACAGAGGCTGCCCTTTCATCGTCTCCTTTCGAGTGCTGCTCATGTGTTTGAATTTCGCTGGGACTTTGAGTGAATGTTCTTCTTGTTTCTCAAGCGAGTTGCGAGTGCCGAGGGGGATAGTGTTCCGCATGCGCAATCATGGATTTTCCTGCAGGCGTTAATGAGGGTGCGGCGCTTACTTACATCTCGACACAGGTGAGTGCCGACCTGGCGCACATTTTGCAGGATGCGGGTGTCCCTTTGCCAGTACAGTACAGAATTACGCAGGCTTTCAAGAATGTGAGGAGGTTCGCGGCTTATGCTGATGATCGGCCTGGGGTTCGTACTGCATTGCGTGCAGACATCGGCTTAGAGGCCACAGACATGAATAACAGGGCGGCGGTGGCTGCTGTTGTGGCTGCATGGGAAGCTTGCCGAGACTATGCCGTCAAGGAAGCCGAGCTCCGTGCGGAGACAAAATTCTTGGGTATAGTGCGACCGGTGCTCCAGAATGAGCGCTTAGCCATGAAAGCGGCGTACGAGAACACCCATGGCACAGTTGAAGAGGCCTTTGAACCTTCCGATGACTATCTGGCTGCTAAGGTGGAGGAGTTCGAAAATGTGGAGCCCACAGCTTCGCCTTTGAATGAGGTCACAAGCAAGAAGGCAGTTCGTACCCAAGGTTTGCAGACAACTGTTGACAAAGGAGGGGCCGTCCGAATTGTGAAGCAGAAGCAGCGAGGGGCAATGCCCCAAACTACCGAAGAGCTTCGGACAGTGCTTCGCATCGAGGCCAACACTTACTGCTTCATGGCGGGCCGTTTCCGCAACAAGGCGTTCTTCAAGGACATGTCGCCTGCTCCTTGGGCGGAATATGTGAACTACCTCCTGGGTGAAAAGGTCTACCTCATGAAGATACCAGTCCCTTCTCAAGCGGGGAAGGGAAGCGATCAAACTCCAGTGCGCCCGCCGTGGCAGGTGCTGCTGACCTACGAGCATGAGTTGCGAAAGGAAGCCATCAAGAGGGCCTATCAAGGGTCACAACCATTGGTGGAAACATTGCTCTCTGTGGTTCGGGATTCTCAGATCAAGGAGCAATTCTTTACATCGCCGATTGCCTTGCAGAATTACGCTGGGAGCAAACGTGAGTGGGTAGCAGATGCACCGTGGGAGGCAAGCAAGTGGATCCGCAACAAAGGGTCTCCCAATCCTAAGGGTTGGGGCAAGGACTCCAAAGGGGGCAAGAAAGGCAGCAAGGACAAAGGCAATGGAAAGAAGGGCGACAGGTCCGCTTATTCTCTTATGAGCCATACGGCAGACGGTCGTGAGATTTGCTTCGCTTTCAACGCTCAAGGCTGCTCTGGTGGCTGCGGGCGGGTTCATGTTTGCAGAGTTCGAGGCTGCAACCAACCGCATCCACTTTGGGAGCACTTTGCCAAACTGAGCATCAAGGATGACAAGAAGGACAGCGGATCAACAAACTGACTTCTACGGGTCGTTCATGTTTTCTCCGGCCCTTGTCATGAGGGGGATTTGCACGCGTGGCTATCGAGCATTGCAGTCAAACAGGGCTTCGAATTGCAGATGGCCGAATTTGATGCGACCCGCGAACCTGCTTCGGACCTTAGTGATCCTGGTTTCTGGGATGGACTTTTCTCGGAGATCAAGTCTGGGTCGTGGGACATTGTTTTGCTTACTCCGCCAGCATCGACATTCTCGCGTGCTCGCAACAGGCACGCTGGGCGCAATGGTCCAAGACCAGTGCGGGATGCTTCCTACCCGTGGGGCTTTCCTTGGTTGCGCAATGCCGATAGGGAACTAGTTTCTGTTGCAAATTTTCATGTCAAGCAGTGTCTTCAGGCGGCTTCGTTGCAGGCACAAGCAGGCGGCTCCTGGCTGCTCATTCATCCTGAGGATTTGGGCATTGGGTCATCGGGCTCGCATCCTGCAAGTATCTGGCAGCTGCCTGAGGTGAGAAATCTTGTTTCGCACGGTTGTTTCAGCTTCGCTTTGCACATGTGCCATTTTGGCGCGGCATCACAATTCTCCACGCGAGTCGCCGGGCGCCTGGCAGCTTGGAATCACCATGGAATCACGTGGCCAATGCTTGATTCAGGCGGGCACTACGTTGGTCCGCTTCAGCCTTGCCAGGTTCACGATCATTCCGACACTGTCGGTTGGGACGGCAATGCCTGGCGCTCTGCCTTCAGCTATCCTTCAGCTTTCTGTGAGTTCCTTGCTCGAGCTCTGGCGTCGAGTGCACAAGCAACATTGGCCACAGACTCAGCGGCACTGCCTGAGCTTCCGCATGCGGCTGAGGCGTTTGCTCGTGAGCTCCTCGCAAAACCCGAAATTTTGGCGTCTGACATTGAAACCTTGTTCAGCTTGCTTCCTCATGAGCCACCCCATGCTGGTTCTCAGGCGAGCTCAGGAACGGCTTTCTTCACTGGTGCATGCAGCTTGGGAGGTATCGCTGGACTTCGCGCAAATGCCAGCAAGTTTCCCCTTGCTTCACAGGTGCTATGTCATTTCTTGGCCAAGGTAAAACCCGACTTTCGTTTTACGTCTTGTGCTCTCTTCAACAATGTGGCCACACAGCTACATAAGGATGCGAGAAATGCGACTTGCACCAATCTGATTGTTTTTTTTGAGGACCCTGAAGGCACGGTTCCTTTCACTTGCGAAGGTGTCACGCGCATGGGCACATGTCTTGAGGTGGCATCTGGACCCGTGATCCTTGATGCCAGGGATCGCTTGCATGCGACTCTCGATTGGCAAGGCGATCGCCTCGTCCTCATTGCGTACTCAGTTTCGCAATGGCATGCATTGTCAGCACATCATAAGGATTTCCTCACATCCCTTGGATTCCCACTGCCGGTTTCTAGCCTTGCAAGCACAGGGGAACCGAAGGCTTCAAAACCAACAGCCCGAACGGTGCCTGGTGAGGTAGTATCTTCGAGTGAGGTAAAAACTTTGAGAAAGGTAGTTTCCCCACACAAGGTAGCCTTTTCTTCTCCCGAGGTAGTGTCTTCAGGGGTTTCGGCTCGACTAGGCACCCCCCAGGAAGGGACCACTCCTGGGGCCCCGGTTCTTTCGGTGGCACCCGCTCTCCCCGTGTCGTGCGAGCCGTTAGGAGCCTTGGGTTTCGGTTCAGCGCATGAGCTTGTCGAAATATCGAGCGAAGGTGAAGGAGAAGAGAAGGCCACAACATCGGTGCAGAAAAATGAGGCTGAGTTTTTTGATCCAGCGACTAGCAGATGCTTTGGGCCACCTCTGGTATGCCGGCATGATCCAGCCAAGCCGGCATTCAATGATGGTTTCGGTTTGTGCTCTCCCGGGCGGTGGAAACCTCAGGCTCGGAACCGGACGGCATCTGCTACAGAGTTGGAGCACTGCGAGAGTATCCGTAATATCCTTAACCAAGTTGTGCACGAGGAGATTCAGGATGTGAGGCTGATGTCTTTCAAACTCGCAGCCGGGCAGTTGAAGGAATCTCCTTTCTCATCATCTGCTTTGCACGCAGCAAGGAGCAGGATCGCTGGTCTGTTGCCGGATCCTCAGCAGGCTATGTGCTGCCCCGAGAGGCAACCGTTCTATCTTTACTTGATGGCACAGTCTTTGGAAATGATGGGCGATCCTGATCATGCCATCCTTGTTCAGGGCGATGAGTCATTTGCTGAGGGAGTGCCGATTGGCTGGGACAAGCCACTGCCTCGCACTCCTCAGGTGTTCCAGCCTCGGGTCCGATATCGCAAATTGGACGAGACACCTTTTCAGGCGGTCATGCAGAACTACGAATCGGCTGAACTTTCGGCTGAACAGCTTGAGGCACATTTCCGAGAGGATGAGGCCAAAGGCTTGATGATTTGCACAACTGAAGCGGAGGCCAAGCGGGAGTTCGGCGAGGACGGAGTTCTCATAGCAGCTATGGGAGCGATCAAGAAACCGAACGGCGATATTCGCCCTCTTCACGACGGGACTCACGGCATTGGCTTGAACAATCGTATCCGTATTCTTGATGCTTTGCATGTGCCGGGGCCAAATGAAATCACTGAAGCCACAGCTGTGGCGGCTGAGAATCAGGAAGCTGTCTTTGCACTTAGCGCGGACATAAGTCAAGCACACCGGAGAGCTAAAGTACGACGTCGCGACTGGGGAAGATTGGGCTGCAGAAGTTCATCTTCATCACGCGTTCTCTGGCTCAATACAGTTTGTACATTCGGGATAAGCTCGTCCGCCTATTGGTGGGCGAGATTATTCGGATGCGCAGGACGTTGGGTCATCCGCCTGATGGGGATTGCTTGGCTCATGCAGCTTGTGTACGTTGACGACCTTCATCTGGTGCAGGCTGGCGAGAGGAAGTTTCATAACCTCTGGTTGGCCCTCTTGGCGTATGAGGTACTTGGAACACCTTTCTCGTACGCTAAGTTCAAGGGTGGCATCACTGTGGATTTCATTGGCTACCATATCGCTTACAAAGGCTGGTCGGCAGGAATATCAGAGCGTCGAGCAGGCTGGATCATCGGCTGGATTGATGACTGCGAAGCTGGGGGCTGGATGGTGGCCGGCAGGCGCTTAAGCGAGCTGACAGGTCGTCTCAACTTTGTGGCAAGGTTGCTGTTGTGGATGCGACCCTTCTTGGCACCACTCTTCGCTTTCCAGTCAGTCTTGAATAGAGGGACGGTGGCAAGGGCTCCGGCTATGGTTTGCATTGCACTCACTTTTATTCGCAGCGAGCTACGGAAGGGTTCACGCTTGGAGAGTGTCCTGCAAACATGGCCCAATCCTCGTCAAGCCTTCCGCACTGACGCGAAATGCGAAACTGGAAGAGTTGTGATCGCGGGCTGGTCTTTGCAGAATGGGCTTCGATCTCAGGATGCTCCATGGTTCGCGCTTGAAGTTCTGCCTGAACAGGCTCCTTGGCTTTTCAAGGCTGACGGCTCAAGCCAGTGGGCTTCGACTACGGCGGAACTCCTGGCATCTTACGCTGCTTTGCAAGTGTTCGGACATCTTGAAGCAAGCGAGGCTCGCGACAACATTAGGGTTGTTGTATCTGCTGGAACCGACAACCGTTCCACACCTGCGATTCAAGAAAAGGGTTTGAGCAACAAGTGGCCTGTGCAGGCGGTCCACATGCAGATGGTTTCTCGACTTCACTCTTGTGGTAAGATTTGTCGCTTACAGTGGCGGCCCCGCGAGGAGAATGTGGAAGCTGATGATCTTACAAATTTTCATTTCGAGAAGTTCACGATATCCAAGCGGTTACCTTTCGAGATGGCCGAGCTGGATTTTTCTTTACTTGATATGTTGGTGGCTGCTCGCGCTTCATTCGATGAATCTCGAGCTTCACTTGCTGGAAAGTACGTCCAGGGCGAGAAGGTCAGCAAGCGGCAACGAACTGAGGACAAGACGAGCTGGTGATCACCTCCTGTTGCTCTAAAGTCGGGAGGAAAGGGCAACAGAGGCTTTCACCAGTTCGCGACAGACCAGTCTTCACACACTGCCCAAAAGTCCGAGTTCTTGAAGTTCGACACTCTTTACCTTTTGCTGCGCTTCACTTCACGTGGTTACTTCGGTTTAGCTTCAGGGTTCCACTTCGGCTCAAACTTCGGCTCAAACCCGACAGACATGCTATTCGGTCCCCGGACCTAGAGTATGTCTGATGGGGTTTGTGCCGGGGGGCGGGCCGGGGTGGGACTTTCTGAATGCTCTGCTGTCGGCGATGGGTTTTTCTTGACATGAGAATTTTCACGAAGTTTTTCTGAGACTTTCTTCTTTTGCGAGATGAGTTTGAGAATCAGCCTGGCAAGACTCTTGATGGCTTGCGAATGTCGTCTTCATTCCGATGCAGTACTCTCAAGGAGCTGTAGCTTTTCGTGTACCCGCCCACTCCACCCAGGAGGAAAGGGCAACAGAGGCTTTCACCAGTTCGCGACAGACCAGTCTTCACACACTGCCCAAAAGTCCGAGTTCTTGAAGTTCGACACTCTTTACCTTTTGCTGCGCTTCACTTCACGTGGTTACTTCGGTTTAGCTTCAGGGTTCCACTTCGGCTCAAACTTCGGCTCAAACCCGACAGACATCATAAACATGACTGCAAACGATACCTTCAGGATCCAACCCATGCCTCACGGCCCCACTCATCCGATGGCTTCGTTGCCTGCAGACCAATCTCAAAACTTAGTGACGACAACACCTCTAAAGACCCACAACCCATGATGCCTCCTCTCCCTCAGCTCGCTGCTCGTCCCACTGATCATCCTTCGGCTTTGTTGCCTGCTCAGCAATCTAAAAGAACTTATGAAGCACAGCTTTCCAAACTCAACCCATGCCTCCTCAGCTTGCCCAGCTGGCTGCTCGTCCCACTGATCATGCTTTGGCTTCGTTGCCTGCTCAGCAATCCATAGGAACTTATGAAGCACAGCTTTCCAAACACAACCCATGCCTCCTCTTCCTCAGCTGGCTGCTCGTCCCACTGGTCATCATTTGGCTTCGTTGCCTATAGCAATCCATAAGAACTTATAAGCACAACCTTCGAAACCCAACCCGGCCATGCCTCCTCTTTCTCAGCTCGCGGATCGTCCCACTGATCATCCTTTGGCTTCGTTGCCTGCTTAGCAATCCATAAGAACTTATTTGCAACCTTCGAAACCCAACCCGGCCATGCCTCATCTTTCTCAGCTCGCTGATCGTCCCACTGATCATCCTTTGGCTTCGTTGCCTGCTTAGCAATCCATAAGAACTTATTTGCAACCTTCGAAACCCAACCCGGCCATGCCTCCTCTTTCTCAGCTCGCTGATCGACCCACTGATCATCCTTTGGCTTCGTTGCCTGCTTAGCAATCCATCAGAACTTATTTGCAACCTTCGAAACCCAACCCGGCCATGCCTCCTCTTTCTCAGCTCGCTGATCGTCCTGATCATCCGTTGGCTTGGTTGCATGCTGAGCAAACTATACTTTAAATCAAGGACAACCCTCCAAACCCGAAGCGTGCATGCATGTATTCTGGAGTTAAGCGGCTGTGCTTCTCATTTTTTGTTGCAGCTGCAAAGCTAAAGGCTCCAGCCAGTGTACAGTGGATTCCGGAGCCATGGGCAAAAACGTGAAGTTTGCCACAAGGACCAAAGGCGCAGCCTTGGTAAAAGATGGAGCTGTGCAGCGGAAACCAGCAAGGATTTTAAAATATCCATAAAGCTAAGAACCAGCGAAGCTGGGCAAGTTGAAGCTTTCCGGTGGGGTGGAAAAGAAAGCGACGACGGAGGAACAACTTACTTCACTCTTGTCAAAAAGCCGGCTTTCTTTCAGGTGCATCTCTGCAACGTCGTGCAAAGATGCCGGCAGGCAAAGCTTCAAAGACCTGTGAATAGCTTCTCTTGTCTGCGACACATCATGCAAAAGATTTCAAAGAAACACGCGGTTTATTGGAGTTTTCCGTGCTCCGCTTCTTCACATCTTCCAAGTGCAAAGTGTGTTAAAATCTTTGCCCAGTGCCAAGCTAGATTCCAGTCAGATCATCTTTGAAGAGCCAGCATTGGCCCGGAATGATGGATTTGAGTGACAATGTTTGCAAGGATGCATTTGATCTTTCAATCAATCCAGATCTCCGAAAGTTACCAAACTTGGATCCTATACCCATGGACATTGAGGATCCCAAAGAACCTGCGCGGAAAGACGGAATCTTCCCTGAGCCCCCGTCCATTAAGAACATGCAGTTTCCCAGGCGTGCACCACATCTTGGACAATGCAGTGAACGGCGTGTCAGGCGTTGTGGCCAACTGTGAGAAACTCATGCCGCAGGCTGCAAAGTTGTGCAGGTTTTTGCGTAACTCTGAGATCCAAGACATACTTCCAGGAACGTTGGGTGGTTCTTCGGGTTGCAGTTTAGAAAGAAGCTTTGGGAAATCAAAGGAAACATCCATTCCGGAAGGTGGGATACTGTTGCTTTCAGTGTGCCACTTCTTTTCTCTGTAGAGCCAGCTCTAAGGCGGAAATGGAACAAGGCTTGATACTTGCAAGATGCGAATGCAAGGACGGCTGCTGTTACAGTGCTTGTGGAGGAAGTGGACAAAGCGATAGAGTCAGCTTTTTTCTGGGCGTGGCTTCGAGTTGTTGATATGTTGGTTCGAGCAATCCAGAAAAACAACAGCCTGGCTTGAAGGCTGTCCGTGCCATTGGAGGTTGCTTCGGAAATCACGCAGCATGGCAAATTTCCCTTGAGCCGTTCGGAGGCGCTGGATGTCGTGCCCCATGCAAGGCTTGAGAGCTGCTCAACTTAGCAGCGGCGACCTGCTGTTCGTTAGCGGGCGCCATTTGCGACAATTCAGCAGTTGAGCTCTTGCAGGGGCTTCCAGGGGACACATCGGCAGCAGACAGAGCAGCACTACTAGCAGAGTTTAATGCTGGGCGTGCTCACTTGTGCTTTTACTTGGCTTTGAAGCTGACTGCTCTGGAAGAATGGCCTTGGAAGATATGTGGTCTGGGCACCTAGACACTGAGAGTGCACATGAGGTTCTTTGTCAAGCTCTGGCCACTCCTCATGAAAGGGCCGTTGCGTCCCTTGTGTGTTCGATGGTTGGGAGGTGAAAGCTTGTTGGCTGACGGCATGTCTCCATTACTGTCCCTTGTAGCTTCGCTGCGATTCATTCCGATCAACGAGAGGCCAGCAGAGGCACTGCATCGCCAGACGAAGTTGCACGGTCGAAGTCGCCCCTGTCATTCAGTCATTCAGTTGCTCTGATGTCATTGAAGCAAAGAATGCCCGAAATCAAGGCTTTGTTTGAAGACAGACCCCAGGCATTGCATGACATGGCACAGTTGTGTCACGAGATTCGCAACAACCGGTTGAGTGTTCATGGCGTTGGTCTGCAGAACCACCCCACCCTGCAAGGATTGAGACGCCGGAACTGTCAGCGACATCCCTTGATGGCTAAGGTGATTTATCATGCTGATGCTCCCATTGTATTCCATTCAGGCTCCAGAGCTTGCCATGCGTCCCGGTCCCGGTGCACGGCCGCGTGCACCTGCGCCCAATGATGGAGGCGACAGTGGACCTGGACCAGAGAATGGCGATGATGGCCCAGGGGACGATGATGATTGTGCCGGTCTTGATGCCGGCGACGACGACGACTCCGATGCAGGAAGTTCTACAGGAGGTCCCCGGGAACTTGCGGCTGTAGTGGAGAGACATGAGGGCGACACGACGGGCATTGTTCCAGTGCTGCAACGTCAGACAGCTGAGTCCAAGCTGTTGCTGCATGCACTGATGCTGAGCAGGTTATGTGGTCTTATGAAAGATGAAGACCGTTTCCTTTCACTTCCATATCCTGCCAAAGCCATGCGAACCCTGGCTACTGCTTTGAGGATGGTTCAGCAGCCAGGCTATCAGCCTGGTAATGATATCAATTTGGATGCGGAACTGGGGATTCGCCCACGAAGAGGCACGGAACTGCCGATCGAGGCGACACTTGCGCACAGGAAAGAGCTTACTGTTGCAGCACGATCCACGATGTTCTTCAAGGTTGTGAGGTCCAATCCCGGGTCCCTCAAGCGGCACAAAGTGGAGAATGAGATCGGCTTCACAGCAGCCGACATCGTCGTGGCACCTCACAGGCTGTGTTGCATCCAGTCGTCTCAGAGGCGGGTCGCTGTTGAAGCCACGTCCCTGCAGCTTCCTGCTCGGACACGGGAATCGATGGCTGGAAACAGTGTGATCATCAGCTTTTCAGCCTTGGAGTGTGAGCAGCTGGCCGAGCTCCGTGTGTGGGAGACGAAAGATGGCATCCAATGTTTCGTCAAAACTGACCAGTTACCAGAGTCAGAAAAGTGGTCACGTGACAGACAGGAAGCAGCAGGCATCCTTCTAAGCGAGTTGGTTGAGAATGCTGCTGGTGTGCGGGACACATTCTGGCGACTTGCCGGTGAGAGAAAGGAGCTTTTACAGCTTTTTCACGAGCGTGGTTGGGTGGAGAAGCGACAGGCACATATGCAACCTGTGACACAAAACTCGTACTTGAGATTTTCGGGCCCCCAAACCCTAAACCCCTACACCCCAAGACTTGTGTGGGTGGGAGTTTAGGGGTTTAGGATTTAGGAGGGATAGCTTGTTCCCGGTCTGTTTTGCAGGACTCTGGGCTTTGGGTGATGACACCGGCAGGGAAGACGGCGGTGGATGTTTGCTTCTTTCTTTGCAAGCCCGAGCCAGTGTTGGAAGTTCGAGCAGATGTCCCGCTTCAAGACCTTTCACCGTGGGAGCTGGCTTTGTTGTTGCTTCGCAAGGGATTTCAACATGTGGTGAAAAGACGCTCAAAGAAGGATGCTGACTTTCTGCCAGGTGGTGATGACAAGAAGTGGTATTCCGCACCGAATGCCACAACTGCCTCCAAGGAATACCTGCGGTGCTTGCTGCAGGGTGATCTACAGG